CTCTTAAAGCGTTTAAATGTTGTTTGTTTCTTTTTTTTTTTTTTAAAGCTGTTTAAAAATGAATAATTGTTCTAGACTAAAGTCACAAAATCACCTAATGACCAAATATCTAGATGACTAATCAGCCTACTGTTAACGTTGATGGCACAACCACAATCTATTTATGAGTCATGATAACAGAGGCGTAGTGGATCAAGTGATACAGTGACTATACTTTATCATATACTTAACATACGATCACAATAATACAATAGTTGATACGAAATAGGTCCATGTCTCATTTAAACATACTTAATCCATGAAATGCTTGTAAATGCATCTTCTCTGTCAATTCATTGGCAACTTCTCTACTTGATAAAGATATCACTATGATCAAATCGTCTTACATAAATATGGACGTAAATCAACTGTCACCTTTCCGTCTCCATATTTGCTCTTCCCTGATTGGTTGGTTTTTACCAAGTCACAATACTCTATCTAAAGACACATCTATTTCGCAAACGCCTTCTGGGATGATTGTCTACCTTATTTTCCAGTTAATGCATAATGGCTGTGTTGCTTATGGTTGAAATGGGTAGAAAGACTTTGCCATTGTATGCTTGTAATTAGTCTTTGTAGTGTTGCGTTTGTTTTAAATGTGGTAAATTATAGATTTGTTTTTTGTTGACTTTGTACCGCGCTTCGAGCCTTTGGGGATGAAGCGGGTTTTTGAAATGAACTTTATTATTATTATTATTATTATTATTATTATTATTATTATTATAATTATATAAGTAATAATTCTCACATTACTTAACTCTCTTGTATTCATTATCTCATATCTGTGATGGTGCCAGACCAAGAATTGAAATGGCGTCACTGCCAAACTTAAGACGCACGTTTTTATAAAATAAGGATTAAAATACATGCTCGCTGAGATGAGATCTTTATTCTTATAGTGGGGAAAAAAACAGAACTATTTTTATATCATTTATATTACACTCGCTTTTGTGTGTTTGGGGCAAAATCTTCCGACGGCAAATTTACCCCCTCCCCGTCAGCCTATCGAGCTGAAACTTGGCACGTTGACAAGATATTTTATCAAATTTTAGCCCCACGTCCAAAAATAAGTTTTTTCCCCCCATTTTTTCAAGAGCAATATGACATAAATATAATGTCTCAAAAAATAGAATTCCCGATAATTGCGCTAAATGAGATTATTTTTTAAAAAAATATCGCAAGATGTTCTTCGGTTCTTCTGTACTAGTTGGTGACATAAATCTGCGCTGTGAACGTGGGTGGGACACTCGAATATTAATATAAAATATGAAAAATTGCCTAGGAAAGATTAAACGAAAAACTTTGTTCGTATAGGTTGTTTTTATTTAAACGTTTACAGAAAGGTTCCGTTTTGCCCAATTTTCGTCCATTTCAATGGCGTCACCGACTTGTGCTCTGTCTTGCGTGGTCATTGTAACAACCTCTTTATAACGGGGCTTTTTCCGTGTGATTAAGTTGCAGTGTTATTTTGTTTCATTATTTTGCCTTATTTATTCACACTTAACAATCCTCCATTTTTATAGTTGACAACACGAGGCACTAGAATTTAGCACCACGAATTTTATTGACGATATAGAGACACAGCATGAAACAAATCTCGAGAAACTAGAGCCAACATAATTTTCGCATAACTTATTCAATTCACATTTATATCCCTCTCAGATCTGTGGATTCAACATTAAGGTGTTGTGTGATATTACATAGAATACTGGCAACAGCCACAATCGCCATTACTATCCTTCACTCTCATCTCGTGCGCATCACATGCAATATCTAATTAACTTCCTGTTCATACTAAATTATCAAAAACAATACTTAATCCGAAACAAAATTATTATCTCAATATTTGATCTGTGACAGTCATCATTAGATCTGCGCTACCAGTTTCAAGAAACACACGGACGCACACACAAGACATGGAAGTCAGTGAAAGAATGTGAAAGCATTAAAAAAGGGTTGGGTTATGTGCTTGTCTCAACAACATATTGCCGACCGAAAAATCACGCCCCCCCCTCCCCCCCCCAAAAAAAAAAAAAANTTAATTATTTCTTGCGGGCAATAAAAACATTAAAGAAAAAAAGAAATTGATTTTTTTTTAAAGTTTGGTTGTTTTTTTTGGAAAATCTAGTTATAACAGGGTAAGGGGCCGCGAAGCTATATGAAATAATAAAATTGACAAACAACAACAAAAAAAAAAACAAAGTAAAACAAAGTAAAACAAACAAACAAACAAAAAGAAAACAACAAACAAACAAACAAAAAATGTTTTAAATTTGTAAACATTGAGAACCACTGGTTTAAATGAGTGAACTAAAATAAATTCAGGAAAGTGAACACAGCAAGTATTTGCTGGATTTATTTAGGTGGTAAGGTTACAGAAAAAGAAGTGTTAAAGCCTGCTGTCAACTAAAGCTATAGCTTACAAAGCGAAGAAACGTGTTCTTTTCAATCACAGAAGGTACAGGCCTTTGTATAGATCCTGAACGTTTTCAAATCTTAAAAATTCAATTGTTTTATATTTCGCGACTCAAGTTTTCTTGAGCCGTTGACCAAGTCTAAAAATAGACAAGAGGGTTTCCCTGAATTTCGTGCTCATGTAGAGATAAACGAAGATGTTGACCGTAGAGTTGATGGACCCCAAGGTAAAAAAGAACGCCCAGCTGGTCACGAACAGATTTTTGTACCTGCCCGTTATGTTATAATCTTCGTAGCAGGACATCGCCAAGATGCCGACCACCCCGGGGAGGGAGCTGACGATAAAGATGGCAGCGATCAGAATAATCATTTTCACCAGTTTCTTGTCTCGTGTCGACATGCCCGCATTACTCCCCGAGGACGACGCCTTGTTCCGCCACTGGACTTTGTGGAGGAAAGTGCGCGTGAGTCCAGTCGTGCAGAGCACCACAAGGGTGAAGGCCGTCAGCTGGGCGAAGACGTTGAAAGACAAGGAGAAACTCTCCAACTCGTGGCCGTACTCGCCGTAGACCAGGGAAATGACAGATCTGTTCAGAGAAGGACTGAAGGAAGGCTCCAGCCGGCATGCCAGGTACACCGGAACTACCGCGGCCGCCATGATGACGTAGATTATAACATTGATGGCCACGGTTCTAGAAGGGGTTAAAATGGTTTTGACTTTAAGAGGCGCGGCAATGCAGAGGTACCTCTCGAACGTGATGAAGACGGTCAGCCAACCGGAAACGCGAGAGAAACAGATGTTGGGCCAGCCTCCCGAGACGTGTTGGATGGCCATAAAGTCCAAGTTTGGGAAGGATTTAGCCACTAACGGATTGTAGCACAAGCTCAACCAGATCAAGGTCAGTAGGATGCCAGCGTCGGCTATCGACAGACTCAGCAGGGTGATGTTGGTGGTGTCCGAGAAGTCGAGCTTCGAGAACACTGCGATGTTGATGAGGTTGAAGATTAAGCCGAAAAGGCTTACGGTTCCGGAGATGACGACGAAGTTGGCGAGCGTAAAGATATGGGCCAGGTCATCGCTAAGGAGGTCGCGGGAACTAAACGCGTCGGCCTCTGACCCGACGTTCACCGTCGTATCTGATCCCTCCAGGGATATGTTCCAACATTCCGACTCCATTGTATCAGACTGCTAAGCGTGTGTTGAACATGTATGGTCAGATCTGATAGTGAGGGATCTCCCTTTTAAATTTGTGACGATTCAGGAAACCTGTCTGATTTTGTCAAAAGAGCGCCACGTTTACACTGGCGTCTGCTATTTCCAGTTTTTATGATGCGGCGAGGAAGTTCCTCTTTGTGCTATTTGGGTTATCAAAGGCAACTACATCAAGGTATTCACAAATTTATAGTACGTACTCAGTTTTTATAGGTTTTTTTTTAGTAACGTTTTAACTGTAAAAATATTTTCCTTTTTAAAAATGATTTGAAAAGAGTGATCACCTTTTGTGTACAGTTCAGAAATTTACAATTATTTATATTGAAATACTTGAAGATATAAGTAAATATATGTTCACGTTTTTTACCGCGGCGACACACGTTCACGTATTTTTCTAGAGACGACTAACTTTCACATTATGATCACTTGTATCTTGAACAGATCAGCTCAAAAAAAAACAAAAAAAAAAAAACAACGTATATTAGATCATAAAATATTTAACTAGATTTTCCTTCAAAATCAGAGACGTCGTTTTTATTCAAATAAACTTAAGAGTTCAGACCTGACGTAGCTCTATTGCGTTGTCCGTGCCATAATATAGGCTTGAATATTGTCATTTTATACTTGATGTAATAAGGTGATAAACTTTTTTCTAAAAAATCATATTTTTTTAAAATATTCTTTTTTCATCTTGTTTGGATGTTTGCAAGGGGTTAATATCTTTTTTTTTTTTATCTGACAAGGAGACATTATAAACGCAGCATTTATATCTGTCAAAATCGTCCCTAAGAATCTGTTCCAATATCCTAGACCTTATTGGTCTTTTCAAAATAATGTCTGCTGCCGAGGGCCAAATATAATTTTTTTTAGAAATAAACCAGAAATTATGCGAACGACAATTTGTTTTGAGATTATTAAAACATTTTAATATTTTTTTAATTGGAAAAAAACTATATCCAAATTAAATGACGAAATTGTTATTTAGTTTATTTTAAGAATTTACGTCAATAAAGAACCAGCATACTTAATCATTTCATCCTGAGCTTTTTTACTCTCTAACCCCACCAGAGGAAACCCGTTAAAAAATGATTAATCAATTAAGTAAGAAGCCAAGCTCTCAAGCAGATTAATTTAATAACAAAATCGCCCCCCAACTCTCCCCCCCCCACCGCCCCCCCCCCCCCCAAATCCAAGTGGTTGTGACATGAAGTTATTTTATCACCGTAGACCAACATAATATTTTATTAGATGAGCAAATCGCTGCCATGCCCTGGCCATATCTGGGGATTTAACGTTCGATTGGTTAATAGGTCAATTGTGGCGTCACATGTACCGAGTCGGAGTTCACAAGTCAAACGTTGGTTATTTTTTTTTTTAATCTGAGGGCCAATCCGTTCAAATACTTTGATCGATTTGTTGTCAAGCTACTCGCACACACACGCACACACACACACAATATTTGAAGTTAACCACCGACTTCTAATGATTTTAGTCAATTTTTATTTTGGCGTGGGGCGGGGGGGGGGGGGGGGGGGTACGGTTAAGCCAATTTTTTAATACGTGCAGTGTAGTTGAAGGTCTGCACGGCGTCAAGGGGGGACACCCACGCACACACACACACAATATTTGAATTTAACCACCGACTTCTAATGATTTTAGTCAATTTTTATTTTGGCGTGGGGGGGGGGGGGGGGGTGGGGGTACGGTTAAGCCAATTTTTTAATACGTGCAGTGTAGTTGAAGGTCTGCACGGCGTCAAGGGTGGATGAGCGCAGAAACCAGATCAAATTTTGTATTTGTTCTCAAATATTCATTATCTGTGGAGTTGTCATGGTGCAATTTGATGTTAAAATTAATTTACGTGGGGTGTATGTGTAAGGGTAATCGTTGGGGGGGGGGTGTAATAATCGACAAATTGTTGATTACATGTAGGAGGCATTTTGAATTGTCGTGTCACAGGTACTAGCTGTTACTCAGTGACACCATGTCACCTACGGGCATATTCCCAATAGGTGTTTCTTAAGTGACACCATTTCACACGCGAGCATAATCCCAATGGGTGTTTCTTAAGTGACACCATGTCACACGCGGGCATATTCCCAATGGGTGTTTCTTAAGTGACACCATGTCACACGCGGGCATATTCCCAATGGGTGTTTCTTAAGTGACACCATGTCACACTAGGGCATATGCCCACAGAGTTCGGTCAACATCATGAAGACAAGACAAGATTTATATTCTAATTTTTGTTAGAGTTTTCACTCTCTGGTCGGTAACCCAACAGTTAATCGTAGGTCTTCAAAATGAGAAAAGGGGGGGGGGGGGGGGGGGATACCCCAAAAAA